CCCATCCTATTACATATTACACACACACACACACACACACACACACACACACACAGTCTCTGACCTGAGTGCCAGATAATTACTCTCTTGCATCTCACTACTAATTGAATTCCTTACATCTATACTTGTATGCTCCCTGCCCCTGCCCCTGCCCCTGCCCCAAGGAGAAAAATCTTAGGATCCTTCTTTGCTACACTGCCAGATTCCCTGGCATCTAGGGAATGTTAATGACATAACAAGTGAGTGCTCATTAAATGTTTGGTGCTTAAATGCTTCAATCAAACAGCTTCACCGTTAGCTAGCAATGAGACCTGCCTTATTGAAAACTAGCATCTTCTTATCAAAGAGAAACCTTTAGAATAAACAGATGGGTTTTTGCCCTGGAAGCCAGACAGAGCAGAACACTATAGAAAATGGCTGTTTCGGGTTCCCTTGGAATCACCCCAAACACTATACTTCTTTCCAGGCCTGAGAATCTGTTGACAGTGTCCAACACTATCTCATTAGCCACAGCATCAAGGGCATCCCCAATGTGCACTAGCAAGTAGGATTCCCCATCGCACTGAGACGTGCTCCTCCTCCTCATTGCCAGTTGAAACTTGTCTTTATATTTTTCTATGTCATTTGCTTTGCTGAAAAGCACAGCCACATCCTTGGGATAATAGCCACACACCCAGAGGAACCGGCATTTCTCAGCTACACAGATTGCTAACTTGTCCAAATCCGAGTGCTCAGTGATCTCTAAGTTGCCTGAGATACCTTGAACCCATCTCAGCTCTTGGCCTATCATCAGGGCCTTGGAAGGGACATTAGGTGGAGGATTTTCTCTGATTACCTGCATTACTCCTTGCAGGTAGTTGGCTATTTCTTCTCCATTGTGGAGCATCCTGGTGAGCTTAATTATTGGCTCCTGGTGTTGGAGATCAGGGAGGCCACTGCAACACAAGTGGTTGATCTGAAAATAGTCCAGAAAAATACAAAGAATTCCTGGACCATCCCTTCGTCTCTGAGTAATGGATTTTGCCTTCGCATACCAGTCCCCATCTTCAGTGCGGAAATTCTGGGCTTCATCAACAACAATGTGTTGAATATTCTCAAAGGTATTTTTCAGGAAGACTTTCCGGGTCACTGCCTGGCAGAAGCCTCTCTTGCTGAAAGTGTAAGAAAAATACAGTCAAGTTTCCTCTGCCAAACATAAGAAGACAATCTACTGTTAAATTCACTGGACTTGGTAAATACCACATGGACCTTAACATGTGAAAGCCATACCAGTTAAAGTCACCCCCCAATAAAGATAGTGAATAGAGTCAGACTGCATACCTCACAAATTTCTTCAAAGGCACGTTCTCACAGATGTAGAGAATGTCATTTGATTGACAGTCAAATACATTCCTGATCTTCTCCATGACCCCGAGAGCGAGTATGGTCTTTCCTGATCCAGGCAAGCCATGAACAAACAGCTCTCTGGTCTTGTGAAGGTTCTTTGAAAGCAATTCGTACTGTTGGTCTGTGAGTAGAGTCAAATTATCTGAGTACAGCTCTTCATTTAAGAAGGATCTGAACCCAAATAAGACAATCACAAGGGATTGTAACAGAGCTTCCATCTGCTCCATGGTTGTAAAGTTATAGGATTCAGGGTACACTTGTATTTCTGAACTATGAATGGCCTTTACTGATTTATCAGAGTTCAGTTGGAAGACCAAGGGAATAATGCCTAGTCTCCCAGTGTAGCCACCTGTGTTCACCAGCCTCTCTTTCAAAGAGTAGGCAACTCTCTTAGAATAGTTCCAGTATCCCAGATCCCATTTGTTGCAAACAGTGTACAGGATTGGGCTGTTGTTCTGGGAAATCAGAAGAGCATCACAGATGACACCCTGCTTCCTTTGAAGACCCAGGTCCACAGCCCAGCTGTGGGAGAAAATCAATATCCCTTGGGAGAAAGGGCGTGTTTCCGTACTTATTAAGTCTCTTAATCCTTTATGTCGTAAGAAGAGTTCCTTGTAGACGCTCTCTGGAGTGTATACAATCCTGCCAGGTGACACTAGACAAGGAAAGAATTAGAATGAGTTAGAGAATCACCAGACAAGCTAATAATCACCATTGTTATGGGTAGACCCCACCAACCTTTGGGTCCTACCATGTGTCAACAGTGGGGTTTATATTAGTAAGAACAAGATACACAACTCTGAGTCTGGTAGAACAGATAACTGGCTGTGATCCACAGAGACAATAATTATGAGTACAGAGTGGTCAGGGCATCCAGAAAGAGCACACGGGAGTATGTGAGCACTAATGAAAAGCCCAGCTTAGGAAGAAAGACAGCACAGCACGGAGCTCTTTATGAAAAGGAGGCAGCAGAGCTGACTCTCAGGGGGTGCCTTTGAGTTAGGCACGTGAAGGGTGGGAGAATGGAGAGAGAGTTTTAAGAAGCACTCATGGGGGGCTGGAGAGATGGCTCAGCAGTTAAGAACACTGGCTGTTCTTGCAGGAGACCCGGGTTTGAATCCCAGCACCAACATGGCAGCTAACAGCTGTCCGTAACCCGGTCCCAGGGGATCTGACAGCCTCTTCTGCCCTCCGAGGGCGTTGCATGGCACGGGTGCACTTACCTACATGCAGGCAATATACACATACACATAAAATAAAAATAATAAATAAAATTTTTTTAAAGTTAAAAAAAAAGAAGCACGCATGGACATAGAGACATCGAGCACCAAGGTCTATTCCAGAAGTTCCATGGATTGTGTTGCCAAAAGTAAGGGGGACTTAAAATTACTCTAAGCATAACAGTTGACTTATGAAATAACATTGCATATAAAGCTTTGAGATGATTAAGATATACACCATATTTCACTGATTGTCAATATACTTCAATGTCTCTGAAGTCAGCTATATCATAGTTTAATTGACAATATTTCCTTTTCAGCGTGAATAAAATGATTGTAAATTGCTTTCTAAGTTTGGCAAAATAGGAGAGAAGGCTTAAGTAAACAACCAGATAATCCATGTACAACTATGGGAAAATTTACTTTTGTAAAAAAAAATGACAATTCTGGCTGGGCATGGTGGCGTATACCTTTAATCCCAGCACTCGGGAGGCAGAGGCAAGTGGATCTCCGTGAGTTTGAGACTAGCCTGGAGGACACAGAGAGTTCTAGACCAGCCAGGGCTATGTAGAAAGACCCAGTCTCAACAATAACAAAAGACAATCTTTCCAAATCAGTTTCTTGATTCCATATATTGGTCATTAAATAGTATCAAATTCTTCTTTTTTTCTTTTTGATACAATAAAATGATTCTAAGTTTCTTCTAGAAGAAAAATACCATGATTAGACCACATCAGTGAACATGGATTTTTTTTATTGCAATTTGGCAATGTTCATCCATCTAAATTTATAAGCAAATTTTCCTATTCAGAATTTATCCTTAAAATTTAATCCTCAGTTATTTATAGAAAAATGTGTATTTTTGTATTTTTGTTTTGTTTTTTGAGACAGGGTCTCACCATATAACCCCAACTGGCCTGGAACTTGCTATATAGACCATCCTAGCCTGGCCTCAATCTCACAGTGATTCATCCTGCCTCTGCCTCCCAAACGTGGGGATTAAAGGTGTGTACCACCACACCTGACTGTAATGTACTTTTTAAAATAGAAAAAAAATGGACATTATATGAAAGTCCACCAAAAGAAGAGACTCTTAAAAAAAATGATAGTGGGGTATTTGCAAAGTTCTATTTACTTATTTTATTTGGATAGTAGTCATACACGTTTCATGCTGTAATTATTTATTAAGTTATCTTCATTCTATATAGTGTCTGTGCACATAGTGTTCCATAACAAAAATAGCTAAAAATAAGAGAATAATATAAACTTAAGAAGTACTTTATAATCAGTAAAAGAATCAGATAAATCCATCAACAAGGTCATGACAAAATAGTTATTTCCTATTTAAAACAATTACAATAGTCAGCCTGTAAGCACTCATGGACATATTTACACTTATGCACATTCTCTGATACGCACGTATATTTTTTTTTCTCTAGACACTAAAAGAATGCATGGATGTTACCAAAGACAAATGCTACTATACAAGGCAATATCCAAGTTCTTTTCCAAAAAGATTAGACCAACTTAAACTCCCAGTAGTGTGTAAAAGATCCTGATTAACTAGGGCTGGAGAGATGGCTAAGTAGTTAAGAACACTGACTGTTCTTGCAGAAGACCCAGATTCAAATCCCAGTACCCACATGGCAGCTAACAACTGTCCATAACTCCAGTCCCAGGGGATCCAACAGCCTCTTCTGACCTCCACGGGCATTGCACGAAACAGGTGCACTTACCTACATGCAGGCAATACACGTATACACATAAAATAAAAATAATAAATAATAAAAATTTTTTAAAAGATCCTGATTAACTAAAAAATATTGTCAGTGAAATAGTGTAAAAGAGACCAGACATGGTGCTGTATGCCTTTAGTCCCAGCACTTGGAAGTCAGAGGCAGGCAGATCTCTGTAAGTTCAAGGCCAGCCTGGTCTACATAGTGAGTTCCAGACCAGCTGGGGCTACAGGGAGACCCTGTCTCAAAAAGACAAAAAACAAAAAAGCATAGAAATTAATTAAAATGAAAATTTTTTTCTGATATTAAGTCCTCAGTTAAACAGTGTAAAATGGTATCTCCTTGGGGTTGATATGTATTTTTCTCATGGCTAATGGATTGCAACTCTTCAAAAGTTTATTGTACATGTGTTCTTTCTTTTCTGAAAAATCCTTTTATTTCCCTTTTTCTATTGAGTTGTTTGTGCTTTCAAAGTTTTGGACAAATTCTTCATGTGTCCTTGATACCAATCCCTTTCTGGCTGCATTGTCAGTATCTTCTTTGTTTCTAGATAAACCTTTTCATTTTAGTAATTTTTTAAAGATTACTGTGACAGAATACCTGAGAGCAAGCACTTAAAAGGAAGAAAGGTTTACTTAGCTCACAGTTTCAGATGTTCCAGTCCATCATGGTAGGAAGGGCATGGTGGAACAGAGCAGTTCACATCATGGTGTCCAGGAACCAGAGAGGAGGAAGGTGCCAAGGCAAGATACACTCTTCAAAGACACAGCCCTGTACTACTTCTTTCCCACCAGGCCCCACCTTCCAGGGTCCACTATCTCTCAGAAGTCTATTAAAATTTGAATTCGTTAATGGATGGAACCATCAATTATGTCAGTGTCTTCACTGATTCTGGGAATGCTCTCATAGACACACACTGTGATTTACTAATCTAGACATCTTTCAATTCAATCAAGTTGAAAAACAAGATTAACCATTTGAGTCTACAGAGATGGCTCAGCAGTTAAGAGCACTGGCTGCTTTACAGAGGACTCCAGTCCAGTTCCCAGCACCCATATGGCAGCTAACAACTATCTGTAACTCCAGTTCCAGAGAATCTGACACCTTCTTCTCACCTCCACAGGCATTGCATACATGGGTGCCCTAAGAGACAGGCAGGCAAAACATTCATATACATAAAATAAAAATAAATAAAAACAATTTTACAAAGATTGACAATTACATTAATTTAAGAATAAAAATTTTACACCTTTTCTAAAAAGTTTTGGTTGTATGTCTTTATGTATGTACATCTGTGTGTGTGTGTGTGTGTGTGTGCACATGTGTACAGTTGCCTAGGAGACCAGAACAGGGCATCAGATCTTTTAGAACCAGAGTTACAGGCAGTTATGAGCTTCTAGATGTGGGTGCTGAGAATGTACTCAGATCCTCTGCAAGAGCAGCAAGCACTCTTAACTGATGAACTAATTCGCCAGCCCCAATGTTAATGATTTTTTTTTCAGTCTTTTTGAGACAGTGTCTTCCTGTAGCCCCAGCTGGCCTGGAACTCACTATGTAGACCAGGCTGGCCTTGAATTTCACAGAGATCCACCTGCCTCTGCCTCCTGAGTGCTGGGATTAAAGGCATGCGCACCATACTTTTTAATAAAATATTTTTTTTATTTTTTTGGTCTTTTTTGAGACAGGGTCTCCCTGTAGCCCCGGCTGGCCTGGAACTCACTATGTAGACCAGGCTGGCCTTGAATTTCACAGAGATCCACCTGCCTCTGCCTCCTGAGTGCTGGGATTAAAG